AAAAAAAAAAAAAAAAAAGCTTGTACTTCAGTAAGAGAGGTAAAACAAGCACAAAAATATCACTTCATGACTAGAAGAACAAAGATGGAAAACATTACCTTTAACCAGGACATATTTTCAAGGAAAAGCATTTTCTAAGTTAAAATAATTCGGGGGGGGGGGGAAATAGTTACACCGTTTAAGTACATAAACACTTCATAGAGATTCAACAGAAACAACTTAAAATTCTGAATTAGACTCACAAAAGAAGCCTAATGTGGAGGAATCATGTAATACCTGCAAAACTTCAGCGATTCGCTCTACCAAACCTAAAATAATGTCTTCCAAATCTTGAAAGGTGGGATAAAATTCCATTTTATCATCATCAAATGTCAATTCCATCTTAAATATTGGCAGCCTTTGTTGATCTTTTGGATCAAATAGTTTTACAAATCCTTCTACAGTTCTCCTTAAGATATCTTTTATCTGTATAACATCATAAATGACTATTATTTTAGAAACTGCAAATTCAACCTTTAAGTAAAATCACATAACTTGTGTATTCTACAAATCTATTTAGTCTTGAAATTATCATTATTCAGGACAATATATGTTTTCTTTTTGGTCTTTCTGAAACAGAGTTTTTGTTATGCAGTTCAAGCCGGTCTTGAACTTACTGAGTAGTCCAGGCTGGCCTCAAACTTGCAACAATCCTCCAGCCTCAGCATCTGAGTACTAGGATAACAGGTGTGTGCCACCACACTTGACCTAAACCACAATCTTTAAAATATAATATCAACAATGTAAAATGGCAATGCACAATTTTCATTCTTTATTTAGCCTCTCCATGGAATACAAAACATTCCAAAAGAGGAAAAAACATGTGAAGAATAGGGGTACAGAAGGCCTAACACCTACAAGAGAAAGTGTAATAGGGTCATACGCACATCGGATATGGTGTAGTACACCCAGTTCCTCTTGTCACAAAAGCTAAACATTTAAAAATTTTGGGATGCCAATTACAAAACCTTTAGGAATTTCAGGTGTACTGTTATTTATATCACACATTATTATACCACAGAAATTGTCAAACAATAGAATCAAGGTCTTTTTTCTATTTCTAGGAGCCATATTTCCTGCACAATGTTAGATGAAGACAAAGCCTCTAGAATTTAGAAATATGCACAATCTAGCCACACATGGTGGTGCATGTCTGTAATCCTAGCACCCGCGAGGTTGAGTATGGAGGATCTTTGCAAATCTGACACCAGCCTGGGCTACAAAGTGAGCCCAAGGCCAGCCTGAACTGCATAAAGAGATACTGTCTCAAAAGATAAACATACACGCGTACACACACACACACACACACACACACAAAGCCCAGAAATATGGACAATTTCTAGGTATGAAAAACACATTTTATATGGAACTAACTGTTGAAAGTGTGACTCAGCAGGTAAATGTGAGTCTGAATGATCATTAAATATTCCTGTACTCACTTCTTACCACAGAATCACAATTAGTTTAAGCCATTAAATGTGGAAAAGAAACCATGTCTCTTAGTTACACTGTTACCCAAAGCTAGTAAACAGGTACACTATCTTTTTAAGGATACAAGACAAAATTCATGGAATTTTTGGAGATTCACCAAAAAAGAAGCTTTTTCTTCAACAACGTTTGTGTAGAATTGTATGTCTACAACACTAAAAACGTGAGGATTCCATAAATCAGTTACACAAAATTAGTACTCTGGCATTTAAAGCTAACAATAACATTTTGAACAAGACTATACTGATAACAAAAAAGAATCAATGGATGGGGAGATGGCTCAGTAGAATAAGTACTTGCCTGGCAAGTGCAAGGGCCTGAGTTCAATCCCTGGTTCCACCAAAAAAAAAAAAAAAAAAAAAAAAAAAAGAAAAAAAAAAAATCAATGAAAAAAAAAAAAAAAAGAATCAATGAACTTGGAAGTTAGTAATTTCCAAAAATATTTAAAATGAAAAAATAAATTTAAATTATATTTAAAAATAAATTTAAATAAGAAATATTTATTAACATGGCCCTTTTATTAAAATACTCCAATAAAACTACAGAAAAATAGCTATAGCCTTTACTCATGAGCCAAGTAATCATTCATATTTCTAGACTTTGCCCTCATTCTAAAAAGCTTAAAACAATTTTTGAATCCCAGTAGTGAAGAAGCTGAGGTTGGAGGGTTTTTGCCACAATTTGAGGCTAACCTAGGCTAGATAGTGAGTTCAAGAGCAAATGAAATAAATTCCTAATGAATATAAGGATTCAATCACAAGATTAATTCAAAATTCAAAGGGGAGTTTATTTGGGGGGAACATTATTGATAATTACTCAGGATACAGGATTGTTGTGAGTTCGAGACTAGTCTGGCTACAAAGTGAGCTGAAGGCCAACCTGAATGAAGGAGGAGGAGGAGGAGGAAGAGGAGGAGGAGGGGGGGGGAGAGGGACAGGGACAGGGAAAGGGAGAGAGACAGGGAGAGGGAGAGGGAGAAGAAGAGAAGAAGGAGGAGGAGGAGGAAGAAAGAAGAAAGAAGGAGAAGGAGGAAGAGGAAGAGGAGGAGGAGGAGGAAGAGGAAGAGGAGAAGAAGATTACTCAGTATTGATCATGAGTTAAAATTTCAATTTCATGTAAGTAAAGCCATGGTGTTATGTTGAGCTGTAGGGGACTCAGGTCAACAATTTCTGACATTTCCAGTCAAGCGGAAGACCCAATACTATTATGGGCTACTGGACTTTTTTAGAATATTTTGCTGAGTTAACACACCTATAATATTCAAATAACAGAACTTAACAAAAAAAAGGGGATACAGACGAATGTCTATTTTGTATCTGTGCAATCAAAGTGGTTAGGATAGGTATATAGTTACATTCTCTTAATGAATAGAGTGATTTGTTCTAATGGTGTTTGTAAATAGAATATCATGTCCGCATCTTGTACAGCAATTAACCACTGGGAGGAATGTATGCAATGTGTTAATTATTGAAACTGTCCTACCAATTTGATTTGAAACTGTCTCACTGCTATTTGTTTATCAATAAAATTATGGGAAAAAATTTTCCATTTCAATTTCAAAGACTCTTGTCTTTTGGGGTGTTTTTGTTTGTTTGATTGGTTGGTTTTGTTCATTTGTTTTGATTTTGTTTATATTTCTTGCAGAAATGGGGATTGAACCCAGGGAGCCCTAAACTACAACCTCAATCTTTTTGAGAAAGGATCTCACTGGGTTTCCCACTGGCCTTAAAGTTCTCATCTTCTTGGCTGTTACCTGAATAGCTGAGATGACAGCTAGACTTTCCCCTAGGACTTTATTTTTTAAATGTTCATTAAAATGTATTTTCTTAGCCAGGTATTGTGGCACACACTTGTAATCCCACCACTCAGGAGGCTGAGGCAGGAAAATTATCATGATTTCGATCTGAACCACATTGTGAAACCCTCTCTCAAGAAAAAGAAAAACATTTCTTTTGAAGCACTAAATTCTCATCAACTTGAAATAACTAGTACACTGAGAAGTCACTCTCACACTTTCTCCTCAAAAAACCCTCATTTTAAAATTCTTTCTAGGGCTGGAGAGATGGCTCAGTGGTCTAAAGCACCTATCTGGAACAAGCTTGGAAAAGCACAGGGACCGCGGTTCGATCCCCCAGCACCACATGCCAGCCAGCCGCACCCCTGATGAGCTGAGCTGGCCACACACACACACACACACACACACACACAATAAATGTTAAAAAATAATAATAAAATAAAATTATTTCTATAGTTTTCACTATATCCCTGATCACATTAAAATTTCACAATTTTATTTCATATTAATAAATCCATTTCAGTATAGTATTTTTAAAAAACAGTTTTTGAGAGCTAGGCCTCACACACTCTACCATTAAGCTGTATTCACTTCACATGTGCTAGGTAAGCACTCTGCCACTGAGCTATACTAGATCCCAGGGCCTTCCCATTTTAGACTTCTTCAGAAATTATTTTTCTCCTAAAATTTATTTAAATACACTTATAACAAAAATATTTTAAACTTATTTCAAAATAATTACTTAATTATTTATTTAAATAAAATTTTATTTAAAGCACTGAACTAATTTTAACAAGATGGATAAAATATATTTACCTGGTTTGACATAAGTGTGGAAACACAGCTATAAAATGCATCCAATTTTTCAGGCTTAATGCCTTCTAGTGCTTCCTTCTTGGTAAAGAGATTTATAACCCTTGGATACCATGTGTTCATTATCTTTTCTTCTGCCTTTTTAGCTTGGATTGTTAGATCATTTTTCAGTGTTTCACAATCAATTGGGCCCTTAGCTCTATTTACGGGGAAAAGAAAAATAATTTGACACAAATGACAGATTTTGGTCTTGATATACACTGCTGAAAGGAGACACATTTTAAAAATTGTAAAATCTAAGGAAATGTTTTGAAGATTATGAATTAGCTTAAAAATTGTATGGTCAAGAAAAATTATACAGTCAAGAACATATATCAGACAAGGTAACATCAAATTTTAAATGTTAATTAACAGATACTGCATTTTACCTAATTCCAGTGAAGTCCAGCACCACTGTATCAGTAAATGTTGTATAACCAATGTCCAGTAACATTTTCATAGTTGGATGAACAATGTGCAAATTAGACAATATTTGATTTCTTGCCTGTACATAGCTAGAATGCCAAGGATTGGAATAATCCAGTCCTCTGAAAAAGCAAAACAGTATCAGACATGACCAAAAGAACAACCATGTATCTTGAGAATCATGTTTATGGCCTGGAATTAGTACTAAGGTGAGAAAGGTGGAGACTGAGAAGAAACTAGGTCAGTGCTTGAAGCCCTAGAAGTTACACTTTTACTAAAAAGTACATCCAAACCTCAGTGTCTTATCCTCACTATGCTCTGGTTTGGTTACAAAAACCAGATAAAGGAACATATTTTTTAGGGTTAGAGGAAAAGAATGAAAAAAATATGTGCTCAATATACCAAAGCTTCCTCAAGGCTGAATTAACCGAGGTCTTTCTATGTATATAAACAGCACTATATAAGTATAGTGTAGAGAAAACTTTTGGAGTTTTTAAGTTTTAAGAATACTTTTGAGTGGCTGGGGAGATAGCTCAGCAGCTTAAGTGTCTGCCTGGCAAGTGTAAGGTCCTGAGTTCAATCCCCAGGAGCAAAAAATAAAATAAAATGAAAATTGAGCTTCACAAGTGTGGACTTGAAACTGAGGTCAGTTCATTTGTAAACTATTAAAACCTAAATTAAAAACTGTTTAAAATACTTCACTTACACAGGGGATTCAGGTAAAGGGCCTCCTTCATCTTCAAGCCATTTAACTGGTGGTTTCACAAGAACGCTCTGCACTAAAATACATGTATATTATCAATATTTCTTGAAAAGCCTTGCAATATCTATCCATATCAAAATCTTTGAACTGTTTGGCCTGGAGATGTAGCTCAGTGATGGAGCAACTTCCCAGCATGCACTGAGGCCCTAGGCTCCATCTCCAGTACCACACTCCAAAGTACCTGTTTTCATATTGGATGGTATAGTAGACTGTTCACGAAAATAAGTACAAGAAAAGCTTAAGTTGAAACATCAAGCTGTTAATACAATTGGGCCATACGTTGAGGTAAATTAAAATACATAGCTTAGTTCTTTGCATCCCATCTACTCAAAGGTCAGGCAGATCCACTCATGAATTTATTCATGGTTATTGTCAGAGGCAGAGAGAAAGGAGTTGGCAACAGTTAGTCAAAGGGTATAAAATTTCAGTCAGAGAGAAGGAATAAGTTCAGGAGATCTATTGTATAAATATGGTGAGTATAATGAGAGACAATATATTTTATTCTGGAAAACTGCTAATAGAATAGGTTTTAAGTGTTCTCATAAGTACAGGAGGTAATGAATGGATTAGCTCAATTTAGCCATTATATAATGTGTACATATTTCAAAACATGTTGTATGTGATAAATAGATGCAATTTTTGTCCATTAAAAAATTATCCTAATAAAATCATTTATTATATTTCTAACAAATTTTCCAAACTATCTTAATAATCCTTAATAATACCATAAATATAATGTGATAACTAAAACTATAAAGATAAAATGAAAAATACAAAACTATACATATTAGCTGATAAACACAAAAATTATATTAAGTTAAAATCACAGATTTTGACTAGATTATAAACTCAGAATAAAATCTTAGGTAAAATCAACTCTAGAGAATATATATGATTTAAATATGTAGTGGGTTTGTTTTTTCTGTTTTTGTTTTTGTTTCTTTGTTTTTTGTTCTTTGGCAGTACCAGGGACTGAACTCAGGACCCTGCATTTGCCAGGCAGGCACTTACGCCTCTGAGCTATCTCCCCAGCCCTTCGGTGTTCATTTTGCTTCTACTTTTGACTCAACAGTAGGGCAAAGGCAAAAGAAGTTTGGCATGTATTACATGCTACTCACCCAAACATCTCTTCATGCTTTTCTCGAAGTCACCTGACACCTCACTTATGAGCGAGCCGAGCAGCTCTTCTCTTTTTTTCCCTTCTTTTAAATGCTCCGGGATCAGCATCAACATGTGATCCAGCCATTCTTGCTGAATAGGCACTATAGGGCTGCTTTCTACACATCGCTTCATGTAATTATAGTTCAACTGAGGACAAAAAAAGTTTAAATGTTCTGAATAGTATAACATGTCAATGTAACTCCTGAGCTCCCTCTTCCTAAGGCAGTATTTTCCCAGAATAAAAATACTCTCAAAAAGAACATGTTTTCATAATAAAATCTATTTTACCCAAATATATGCCTCAGAAAGAAAATATTTTATCTTTTTATGTGTAAACAATCCTTGCCAAATTAATGTTCTTACTACATTCTTCACCTTTTCAGAGCCAAACAAAGATCTTTTAGTATATTATTCCTCCATTCAATATTCTTTTTTTTTTTTTTTTTTTTTTTTTTGTGAAACCAGGGATTGAACTCAGACCCTTGTGCTTTCCAGGGAAGCGCTTACTCTACTAAGCCATCTCCCCAGGCTCTCAATATTCATGAATTCAATTAATATTCAAACATTATTCTAAATTCTGGGTATATAGTATTAAACAAAACTGACAAACCTTATACTGTCTTGGACATTACATTCTAATAAAAGAATAGTATAAATCCAGCATGGTCATGCATGCCTATAATGCCTGCACTTTGGGAAGCTGTGGCAGGAGGATCTCCAATTGAAGCCTAGTCTGGACAAAGTAGCAAAACTCTATCTCAAAAACTAAAAAGAAGGTCCAGCAAGATAGCTCAGGGACTAAGTGCCTGCTTAGGCAAGCGCAGGGACCAGGGTTCAATACCCTCACACCATATGCTGTGCCGGCCGCACCCCTGGGCATACTGAGCCAGAGACAGAATCCAGGTGTGGTGGTGCACTCCTGTAATCCCAGTACTGGGGAGGCTGAAAACAGGAGGATCACCATAAGTCTGAGCTGCATAGTGAGACCCTGTACCAAATACATTTAAAAAAATCTAAAAAAAATAAATAAATAGAAAGATCTGGGAATATAGCTCAGTGTGAAGGCCATAGGTTCAATCTCTAGTATAACCAATAAATAAATAAACAAGCAGACAGTAGTATAATTTCTGAAACTCCCCCCATAAGAATGAAGAGTCTAATAAAAAAAATACATGTGAACAACACCTGCTTTTAGCAAAGACATTTTAACATCATGAAAATTTCAATTTGTTCCAAAATTAACACAATTACACAATTCCAACAAAGATATTAACACATATTTTTACCAAACTAGACAAGGTGATCTAAAGTTGTTGTGGAAAATTAACATGCAAGAATAACCAAGAAGGGGCCGGGGAGATGGCTCAGTGCAATAAGTGCTTCCTTGGCAAGCACAAGGGTCTGAGTTCAATCCCCGGTTCTGAAAAAAAAAAAAAAACAAGAAAATCTATGATGGAGCATAGACCCTAAGACATGCAAACACACTGTGTGAGTCCTCTATAGTTGGTGGAGGTGATACAGGGAGACCAATAGGTCAGCATAAAAAATACAAAATCCAGAAATAGACAAAAATACCAGAAAGTTTAACATATGCTCCACATGGTTTTTCAAATCACTGGGGTAAAAATGAATGTTTTAATAAGTAATTCTAGAACAAATGGTTAGCCATTTGGAAAGATAAATTAATCCATACCTTCTAGCATACACAAGAATAAAGTTCAAATAGACAATAAATTTATTGTATATTTTCACTTAGACTGAAACTATACAAGAACTTTGAGTAAAAAAGAATTTTTAAAAAAGTTTTGTCCTCAGCCCTCTATCACCAAAAAAAAGTCATAAGGGAATACAAAAGCCTAAAGTCCCATCTGAGAATACGCTGCATCAGGTGCAGTCAGCCCCACGTTTCCATAGCCTTTCCTAATAAAGAAATGTTACATGATGTCCTCTTTCCACCAGTCACATCACTGTGTCACACTGCCATCCACATGGCCAGTGTCCTTCTTCTTGTTTTATCTCTAGCAACTAGCATTTAGCTGATATATAATAGATTCTCAATAAGTACTTGTAGAGGAAATAAATAGCCATCACTACATCCATGTTAAGCTAACCTAGGGTGGGATTTAACAGGTGATTTTAGAAAACAGTTAATAGCCTCTTTGAACATTTTGAAAACAAGAAATAAAAAAAGTGAACTCACTCCTTTTTTTTTAAGGTCACTGGTCATCTGTCAAAAACAAACAAAAAATATAATTAAGTCAAGTTTTTAAAAAATAAAGACTATAAAACGTATGAGCTATTTTCTTTAAAATAATTATATTGAGGCTGGCTTAATTAAAAATTAAAATGTGTATAAGGATACATTCTTCAAAGAAAAAACAACTTACAGTTGAAGGATAATCCGGCTCTGGCAATGGAGGTACTCTTTTACGCAGTGTTCTGTCTAGATTTATTTTGGCTTTATCAATTCTGAAATTTATAGTTACAAAAACATTGAGTCCAAGAAAACACTAGCATAAATTGTTAAGCTATTGTAATTTAAACATTCTTCAACTATACTATAAAAGATACTCAAGAACTCTTTGCCAGGGATATAGCTAGCAAAAGCTGAGTTCCCCGGCACAAAAAGAAAATCTCTTTATCTGACTGAATTTTTTTTTTTTTTTTTTTTTTTTTTTTTTTGCGGAATCGGGGATTGAATTTAGGCGCTTGCGCTTGCCAGGAAAGCCCTTATTCCACTGAGCCATCTCCCCGGCCCTTGACTGAATTTTCTATAAGAAACAAATCATAACAGCCATTATCAGTGTGACCTTATAATGTAAAAGGTAAGACTAAAAATTAAATGAGTAATTTTTCCTTTCTTTTTCTTTTTTTTTTTTTGTTTGCATTTTTAGGGAAGGGTCTACAGGGTGTTCAGGGTCTCACTACTGGATCAGACTCGTAGTGATTCTGTCGACAGCCTCCCAAGTGCTGGGATCACAGGCATGCGCCACCACGAGCAGTCTCAACCGCCTTCTCAGCGTGCCCCAGGGGCGGGGCTGGCATGGCAGGCCGAGGGTTGCAGGCACTTCAATCTGCTGAGCTATTTGACCGGCCCTGTATTTTTCAATTATAACACTGACAATCTGAAAATTAATCCTGGTACAGAGTATATCATTTCCATTTAAATACCCCACATTGGAGAACATTCCCTTACACTCTATGTTAAGGTATTCAACTACTCATCTCTTTTTTCACTTTTCTTCTTTACCACTTGATATACAGATATTCTCTTCATTTAACAGTATGACTTACAACCCAGGTGAGCTCTTCACACTTAACTACCTGCCACTCAGACTTACACCTCCATTCATACTTTTTTGGGTTTTTTGCTGCCTCAGGATGCCTTAAGGGCAGGTCTGGTAAGGCATAAGGATATGGGAATTGAACCATGGTATCCTGAGCCTGACTGTTTTGCTTAAGCAGGCACTTAAACACCTGAGCTAATGCGCAGGTCCCCTCCATACATACTTTTGACACAGGAACATGAGCTGCAGTGTAGCCTTATGGTAGCTCCTTGTAAAGTCAAGTATTAAGCTAGATGTGATAACCCAGCTGTAATCCCAGTACTTGGGAGGCTGAGGCAGGAGCATCATTGTGAATTCAAGACCAGTCTGGGCTACAAATAGAGCTTAATGTCAACCTGAACTGCATAGTGAGACCCTGTCTCAGAAAGATATAAAAAATAAAGTAATTTCTGCTGATTGTGCTGTATAGTAATGCAGTTCTATGCTCTATTATACATTACAGAACTGCATGTAAGAGTTCTGCAAATAACAGCAAAGTCATCAAATGGAGTTTCCCTTGACAATTTCTTTGTTTTGAAATTTGTATTGTACATACTGTAACAACTCAGACTGGGTGTGGTGTTGCACACTTGTAATCCCAGTCCTTGGGAGGCTGACACAGGAGAATCACTACGAGTCTGATCTACATAGTGATACCCTGTAGACCCTGTCCTAAATACAGAAAATAAATAAATGGGACTGGGGAGATGGCTTAGTAGAATAAGCGCCTGCCTGGCAAGTGCAAGGGCCTGAGTTCAATTCCTGGTTCCAAGAAATAAATACATACATACATGCATATTATAACAACTCTTCTTAATGACCAATTCATTTAACTACCAAATTACCAGAATACATCTCTGCTATTAAATAAGGAATGTATTTAATATACGGTGTAGGCTCTTCTATTTATTGCCCTTATCCCCAATTCCTAGAATTGGCACATAATAGGTGTCCAATAAACAATTTAAAATTTGTAGCATCCATAAGATATCATTTCCTCTTTAAGTTGCATCATTACAGGGCATAATCTACTCATTTATCAACAAATATTTATTGAATGCCTACTGTGGGGTACTTCCAAGTGGTATCAACTTGTAACACCCAGCTGAACTGCACACCAACTGAGGATTGTTCCCGGCAACACAAGAGGCAGAAGTGGAGAAGAAGTGAAGCTACTGGGAACTACTGGAAGCTGTAGGGAGCTGGTGGCCTTCCTGTAGGGAGCTGGTGGCTTTCCTGATGAAATTAGCTGTTCTCATCATCGAAGGAGCTCAGGATCTTACTGTCACTGAGAATGGCTATGGCCAACTTTGGGGGAGCTCCGGTGTTCACATGCATCGCTTCCTGGATCCAGATGGGAAGATGGTACTGTTGAGCCTCCTGGGGTTGTCATGCTGGCTATTCTCATTGTCAGAGGAGCTTGGAACCTCACTGTTGTCGAGGTAGACCGTGTTGCTTCCTGAATCCAGTGCAGATCCTCAGCCTGCAAGCATAGACCCTTCATCCTGTTGGCACAGATGTTCTGGCTGCCACCCTTAACTCTGGTCTTTCCCAGTGCAGATCTGTGAAACAGACCTGCATGAAACATCGTTGTGAGCGCTAGGCCTCTATCTGGACTCATGGGGGCATTGCTACGGGCTCTCGGTCTTCAGCTGGACTCTTGCAGGAGATTACTGTGGGGCCTAGGTCCTCATCTGGATTCTTTGAGTCTTTAGTGCATAGGCAGATTTCCTGTACTCTTTTTTTTCTTTAATATATTTAGTACACGTTCTATAGGGTCTCACTACCCAGATCAGACTCCTTAGTGATTCTCCTGTTTTCAACCTCCCAAGCACTGGGATTGCAGGTGCGTGCCACCATGCCCAGTCTCAATCCCTGTCTCAGCGCGCCCCGGGGACAGGGCCAACACAGTATGTGGTGCCTGGAATCAAACCCAGTCCCTGCATCTGCCTGAGCAGGTGCTTTAATCTGCTGAGCTAACTGGCCAGCCTTTTCCTGTACTCTTTTTGTATATGACTCTTTGGATGTCTATTATAAAATAATTCTATAAATTATGTGTCCTGTGTAGTTCCCTTGTAAATCCCTGTCTACAACACCTACGTTATGTATATTATTGTACTAAGTGCTATAAAAATACAGTAGAAACAAACCTCTAGAAATTTATAAACTGGCTGGCTGAAACAATAAAAACGAAGCACCATATACATTGATGGTTCAGAAGAAAGACAGCTTCAGTTCCATGTAAAGGCCACAGCAGCACTCAAGCGTTTGCAATGAGCTTTATGTGAGAGAGGATTTGGGGTGGAGATGTGCGTGTCCATGGATCTGAAAAAGCAAAGACCCCGAGAAACAGAAAAGTGAAAGAAAGATCAAAAGGAGAGGGACTGGAGAGATGGCTCAGTGGTCTAAAGCACCTACTTGGAACAAGCTTGGCAAAGCACAGGGACCGCGGTTCAATCCTCCAGCACCACATGCCAGCCAGCCGCGCCCCCTGGTGGGCTGAGCTGGCCACACACACACACACACACACACACACACACACACACACACTAAATGTTAAAATAAAAAAAAAAAAAGGAAAGGAGAATGGGGAGTTGTGATGGGGAACAACTGAAGGAGTGAAGCAGCTACTATCAGAGAGATTAAAGGAGACACAAAGGGGAGGGCCGGCCAGATAGCTCAGCGATTAAAGCGCCTGCTTAGGCAGATGTAGGGGTCGGAGGTTCGATCCCCAGCCTGCCGTTCCGGCCCCACAGGGGATTGAGACTAGCCGTAAGCTCTTGGGAAACTGAAAACAGGAGAATCACTTCAAGTTGGATCTGTAGAGTGAGACCCTGTGCACCCTGTAGACCCTGCACTCAAATACTAAATAAATAAGACCCAAAAGGAATTTTCAAAGAAGTGCTAGCCAACAGAGCCACAAAACCATGGCCTGGTGGATTCCACATAAAGACAAAAGTCAGGGGCTGGGGAGATGGCTCAGTGGACTAAGCGCTTCCCTGGCAAGTGCAAGGGCCTGAGTTCAATCCCCGGTTCCAAAAAAAAAAAAAAGACAAGTGTCACATCTTCTTCTCATTACTCTGACCACACCACTTAGCAGGAGATCAATGAGTATCTGTTAAGATAATGACAAGAATAGAAGACATGAAAAAGATCCTGAGTAAATGTGATTCAACAAGTACAATAGATACTGTAAAATTGGAAGAAACTTCAAAATGAAAGAGAAACTGGGTTACAGTGGGGAAAAAAAAAAAAAGGAAAAATGTTCTTGCATATTGCCAGGCATGGTGGCACATGCATAATAATCCCAGCACTTGGGAGGCGGAGGCAGGAGGATAGTTGGGAGTTCAAGACCAGGCTGGGCTTCAAAGTGAGCTCAATCTCAGGACAAATCCTGAGGGCATTTCACTGACCTTCTCAGACCAAAAAGCTACAACTCTTGTTGCATAAGTCCTGCTTTACCTTGGTCTTAACCATCCGGGAGAAAAGTATGAAGACGAAATTATAAGAAATAAAGCCATGCTGTTAAGTTGAGCTGTGGGGGACTCAGGTCAATAATTTCTGACATTGCCAGTTAAACAGA